AAGAAAAAAAAAAGACGTGCATAATCTCCATACTGCCATCTATCCATATATCAAGTTTCATAAAAATATTTTCAGTACTTTTTGCGTTATCGCGGGATCCAGTTTTGTGGACGGACGGACTGACGGACTGACAGACAGACAGACAGACGGACAAACAGACGGACAGACAGACAGACGGACGGAGGGTAAACCTAAAGTCCCCTCCGGTTAAACCGGTAGGGGACTAATAACCATCTGGTTTAAACTTTAGTTAACTCACAGACAGCAATCTTCTATCCATACTGAATTAATTAAGTTCACAAAATTTTAATACCTTTTAATGCTAGACTTGATTAGAATAGAATGCCACAAATACAGAGTCAGTCTCAGTCAGCAACCAATACTTAAGAGTCAGGCACTGTTTACTCAGAAGCAGACACAAATACTTAGTCAGGCACAAGTACTAAGAGTCAGGCACAAGTACTAAGAGTCAGGCACCAGTACGTCAAGTCAGGCACAAGTACGTCAAGTCAGGCCAGTCCTCACTGCAGTCCAGGCTTTCCTTTCAACAGATATTTTAAAACTGAAACTTCATCTACAAATGGACTGCTCCAAGTTAAGTACAGGATGAATCCATTATTTAAAATACAGAGGATATATTATTAAATGACATATACAATCAAGAACTGCGCATGATTAATCATTTAGTAGAGCAATACATTATTGAATGAACCTACAACTTTACTAAGAAGTTAATACACGGCAGGAGAGGGCCGGAAGGTGATAATCGGCCCTGAATGAATAATGACCCTCGGGCTAAAGCCCTTGGGTCCATTATTCATTTTGCGGGCACTGTTTACTCAGAAGCAGACACAAATACTTAGTCAGGCACAAGTACTAAGAGTCAGGCACAAGTACTAAGAGTCAGGCACCAGTACGTCAAGTCAGGCACAAGCCCTTGGGTCCATTATTCATTTTGCGGGCCGATTATCACCTTCCGGCCCTATGCTGACGTGTATTAATGTCTTTAATCAGGGCTCACGCTGTCGGTCGCCATAGTCGCCATTTGCGATTATTTTATAAGATTGGCGATTATTTTTGCATTTTGGCTACAAAATCTGGCGATTATTTTTTACTTCCAACAGTGTTTATATAAGGTGTGAAAATCGATAATGTATGCAGTAGACCCAATTAACACCAGCGGGGTGCATTTAATTGAGTGTCAACTTTTTACCGGTCACGTGCTGCTAACTATATTGCCCGAGGTGATAAAATACATGCGAGATGTATAATTGTATAAGTACTTTAAAGATATTGTCCAGCATTTATAATAGCCATCAAATATCCGTCAATTAGCCACAAAAATCGTTTTAAAATTGATAAACTGGATATTGACTTACCCAAAATTTACCGTGAATTGCAGTAATTGCATATTTTGATACATTTTTTGTTTTAAGCTACTTAACTAAATCGCCAGTGGAAAACAATGGTAAAATATTTAAAAAGTATAAACTTCCAAACAACTATTTGCACAACAACCAAAATTGTGAATATTTCTTCAGAAAACAGGAAAAATCTGATTGTCACATATTTTCGCGACACCGATAATTTTAATATTTATTTAAAGGTGAAATAAGCTCTGTTCTGTTTAAAAATCTTTACTACTATGGCAGAAAATTTGTATTACATTGGTGATGATGATATTTTTCAGTAAATTATTCAGAAAAAAGGCTGCATTCTTTGAATGAGTTTGCAAACTTGTGTCATTTCTATAGGCTAATATGACCTAGATCTACTCCAGTTCTGTGTGAAATGTGGAAATTGACAGTGGTTATGATAAGCTGACAAAATTTGATTAGAACAAACAAAAACTGTTGTCTGATAACAGCATTATGTAAAGTTATAATGAATCTTTAATATTATTGTTGTACAGTAATTATACTAATTATAACGTTTTTATTCTGTTCTGTAATAACAATTAAAGTTGTGGTTCTATTTTAAAAAAGGTAGTTATCAATATACACAACTGTGTCAGTTTATTTGAGAATCCTTATAAAACTGAAAAAGTTTTATATGTAATGTTTATTTAATCAACTGCTTATGTTGTTAATCGCTAAATCGTGAATAGTCCGCTGAACTTTTGGCTATTATTTTTTTAAGTTGAAAATATTGGCTATTATTTTATTTGAGCCAGTGTGAGCCCCGCTTTAATACACTTGGTAGATCTAATAGTAGCATTTAAAAAAAAAATCAAAACAAATAGACTTTGAAGTTCTTTCCTTGAAATTCTTGTCTACTCTTCTACTGTTCTGTACAGAAATGTTTGTGTGGTCAAAGCAGTAGAATCAAGAAGCAATTTTTATTTTCATTTTTTTCGGAATGAATTTTTCGTATTATTTCTTCAAATTTCAATAGTAACGAAAACGTGTTTGTACTAAATACACTTATAAGCTCTCATAATAAAAATAAAGCGATTCGTGCTGACAACCTACTTTCATTTTTACAGTTAACTGTTTGATGACGTAAAATATGACGTCATTGTTTCAGTTTGTGCACGTGCACATGTTCTGCGGGCTGATAACTAGTTCTCGGCCCCAGGCAGCAAACTCATAATAGGTCATGTGACACTCATAATCAGTTGAAATCATAGGCAATTTTGTTACTATATATAGTTACAAGTGTATTAAAACAAAATTCTGTCAACAAACAGTACTGACTGCAAATTAAACAGTGCAGACCATAATCTGATGGCACAAATATGCCGGGCTCATCTTGGTCTGCACTGGTTGCATGGCTTGGGTAGATTCAGTCACTGCATGCAGGCTAAGGGTTAAAACAATCAACATATTATGTGTGTATAGGAAAGGTTATATAAAATTTAATTACCGGCAATCATTTTCAAATGCATGTACATATGTATTTCCCACTTTGTCTTGTCAACACTTTTCCATTAATATTTCACTTATTTTTATCTCCAACTATTTTAGTCAAATGATGTGAACAAGTGCCAAAAAGAAAAAAATCAACGGATGATTGCCAATAATAAACACAAGACTGATAATGACTGTAAACAAGATTATTGCATTATCTACCTGGTCAATATCAGATTTATTTCCTGTATAGATTTCCAATAATAAGCTTCGAGCCAGTGATTCCACTCCTCATTAATACAGTGATATAACCAGCTGAAGGTTAATCTCCCACTGACAAGTGTTCATACATTCACAATGTGTGGGTTAAAACACTTTTTTCTTATTTCTGAATTTTCAGTTTTATAATTACTTGTGTAAAGGTAAAAACTTACAGATGTACAATAAAGGTAAACAGAACTCAAACTTTCGAAAAATGAACAAAACCTTAACATCCTAGACCTGATAGTGATTTCCTAAATTATTATCAGCATATAAAAGGTTTATCAATGATAATATCCTATAATGAATAAACTTCAATAACTAAATTATAATGCCATTATTGACAATTCTATATCTCCGCGTATCAAACATGTTGTGGTACATATGGAAGAGTGTGATGGCAAATACATGCATGTAGTCTCATTAAATAACGCCTTTATTATTATTATTATTATTATAATAAACATAACCTGCTGATTTTTTATAAAGGATTCGCCAAACTTTTATTTTCTGAATTGTTCATTATCAATTAATGGGGGATATAGTTCATAAATATTGGTCAAATCCTCTTGATGTGGTAGACATTTTTCCCAAGTAATTTAAAAAAAACCTCAATGAATGACAAAGTTACAGTTCACACAAAAGAAGTGGGGACGCACAGATGGACAGACGGAAGGACGGTGCTTTTTTAATATATACCTCCCTTTGGGAAGCATAAAAATTGGTCAGGTAACAGTATAGAACCTTGGTCAGACTGTACCAGTGTGTGGACCAGTCTGGCTTTATACTGGTGGCAAAGGCGTATCACTATTAGTTCCAGCAAGTTTAAGGACCCTTAAATAATATGAGAGTTGTTATAAGGATACAATCAATTTCAAACATGAGAAAGCCTAGAACTAACTTGCTCATGAAATCATGATTGGACACAAACACTTTTGAATAGTCATAAATTTGTTATTTTATACACAGCGGTGACAGACAGGTCAACAATTCATATATTTATTATATACATGTACCATATATAACATTATAGACTTGTCAGATATTGATCTACCTATCCAAATGATAACACAATTAACACTCATAAATTACTTTTTTTTGCCAATAAAAGCATACAACAGATTTTATCATTTATTGCTTTGTGGTAATTTATAAGGATTGAGTTAATATACTGTTTTAGATTGTTAAAATAATAATTATGTTCATGTAGTATCTAAGTCATATACAGGCCAGTTGTTACTTCTTCAATAATTTTTACTGCGATTAATATATATGTAATGGATTTTTTCTTTCAAAAAAACATTTTACTTATAAAATCTTTCACTGATGCAGTCAAAAAAAAGTTCTGGCTATCTACTGTTAGGCTGGTTAGTTTACCTGCTGGAACTGAAACTGGTTAACCAGGAAACATCTGTGCAGTCCTACAAGGCTCTATAATATTATACTGTTGGTAGCTCAATTAATATTATTATTAATAAACTCCCTTATATTTCAGATTGGGCTCATCCAAATTCAAAGCAGGGCAAATCCATTACACAAATTCAGGTGAAGGTTAATTTCACTTGAAAAAGTAAAAGTTATTTATAGAAGGTTCTTGGATGCTGTGCAAGTGCAGAAAATGTTGTGTTTTTTTTGTAATTTTTTATTTATTCTCAAAGGTCACCGAGTATTATTATTCACTTGAATATGAAGAGGATCAGCAGGAATTGAGACATCAGAAGAAAATTACACAGGGGAAAAAAGTGCCCCACTAAGGACTTAGACTTTGAGGCTAGATTTCATTAAAACACCCCTTAACATTTTTAGTTTTGTTTACACTCATTCTTTATTGTTTTATGCTTGAAAACAAAAAGAAAAATAGAAAAAATAAATTAGAAGAAAGAAAACAAACCTTCATTAAAATTCCTTTATATCATCATTTTAAATCCATTCCTTTCTTTCATTTCTGGGTCCGTTGAGTTAATTTTTCTAACTCCTATAAACTCCACAGATGTTCCACACCACCAGTATTGCTAACTTTTTTGTGGTTACTTTTTGTTGCTATGGCTACCAAGTAAAGCATCAAAGACCCATCCCTATACAAATATCTGAAAATACAGCAAAGAAAAAATAGCTTCTTAATACTGTGACATATCTTGGGAAATCAAAGAGATAATCTAACAAATTAGCTACTTTATCCTTTATCTAGCCTTGAAGATTATAGACCCAGAAACAACTTGGGATATCATTCTAAACTAAGAAAATCATTAATTTTGTAGAAGAAAAAATTTCATGTTATGTAGGTAAAATAATGGTAGACTATTTATATTATATTTTATATAATTCATATTTTTTTTTACATTTTCAGTGCTTATAGTTAACACAATCTTCTTTTTTTATCTAATATAAAATAAAGGGCCAGATAGGTTCGAAACCGGTAGATCTTAATTAAAATATTGTTCATAATTATTTAAATTTTATCTGGTGTTGATGTGTGGTTTCTTTGTATTCTTCCTTTTCAACCATATATAAAATAGATAAATGGTACTTTTAATTATTTTCATTGCACTGTTACTATATAAAAATATATATTCTCAAGAATTTATGTTTATTATTTTATTTTTCTAAGTTATATCACAAAATCATCATGTAAACATTTAAATTAACATAAAACTACCTTTAAACACAAAAACATTATTCCAAAACAATAAAGTTTTTCTCCTATTCCTAAACAAACATCTTCAACTAACATTAAAATCTTGTTTAAATTTAATTACCCCTCCCCACCCACTATGCACTCATTATCATTTTATGTTATAAATATATATCTGTATATACATTGTGAACCATTTATTTACATAACTAACACCAACACCCTGTGTTTTATTGGGCTAATTTGTCACATACATTATTCTTGGGACATAACAAATTTATTACCTCATGAACACATGTCATTTGGCCCATTATTAAACACCCTGACCTTACTGTTTGTCAACATAATATAAAACTGTATATAGATGGTAAATGTATGCCTAAATTGTATGGTTGTGGTAAGAGAGATTTAGGAACAGGCTGTCATTTTTTTTTTTTGTAATGTATTGCAGGCCCTTTCATGTGTACATTATTTTATTTGTAACTAGAAATGTGTCTATAGGTAACGGCTGCCTCCACTCTCCACTGTTTTTTTCAATTTTGGGCTACATGTGCCATAATTTGAAAAATAATAATCTTTTACTTAGTCAAGGGCAATAACTCTAGAAATGCAACACAAGTTGAAAATTGCAAATTTTTACTAAGTCAAGGGCAATAACTCTACATATAATATATACATCCACATGAAAATGCCCAAGTCACACAGCACAACTACAAAATTCATGCTGAGCAACATTCCTGTAAAGTTTCATGACCCTAGGTCAAATACTTTTTAAACTAAGTGCAACACAAGCTGAAAATTGCAAATTTTTAATAAGTCAAGGGCAATAACTCTACAAATACTAAAAACATCCACATGAAAATACCCAAGTGCACAACTACATATGCTGAGCAACATTCTGGTAAAGTTTCATGACTCTTGGTCAAATATTTTTGAGCTACATGAGACACAAGTTGAAAATCGCAAATTTTTACTAAGTCAAGGGCAATAACTCTACAAATACTAAAAACATCCACATGAAAATACCCAAGTGCACAACTACACATGCTGCTGAGAAACATTCATTTAAAGTTTCATGTCTCAAGGTCAATACTTTTTTATCTATGTGAGACACAAAATGATAACTGATGGACGGACGAACAGACAAGCGTAAATCTAAATGCCCCCCTATAGTGGGGGCACAAAAACAATATAATCATGTGTCTCAATGGTGGTGTTTGTAGTTTTTACTCCAGATCAGTAACCAACACTGAATTTACCAGAGCACAGTTTAGCCACCTCATTGTTCCTGGGCAGGCTGTCAAGCAGTTTACCAGTAATAGTTGCCTTTCGCAAGGAACTGATAACTTCTGTACATGCCAGAGCGGAGGTACAATGCTAATGACTGACTAGAAAGGATTTCATGATCAATCCCAATGAAAGTGACCTGCACCCTCTGGGAATCGAACCCGGGTCACCTGACTCACAGTCCAACGCTCTGCCTATTAAGCTAATCAAAATTGTGTCTCAATGCAATTTGAATTGGCTTTTATGACTGTTTTGATTATAAATCAAAATGCTTCTGCACATACTTTCAAACTAGGTCATATAATTATGTGGAAAACTTGTAAGATCCTATTGTTCCTTGATCCAACACCAGTCCTAACCAGCTGCCAACCACAGACTGATTCAGGTCATATGACATTCTATATTGTTAAAACATACTCTTTATTAAAAGTTTAAAGCAAACACAAATACTTGCTGCAAAGTTTAGTCAACATTGAACGATCTGAAAGGAAATTTAAACTTGATGTTTTCAGGGAGCTCATCTATCAAATATGAAGTGCAAACATCACTACAACGCCTTTCCTTCAAATCAACAGTTTTGAAAAACAAATTGTACAACCCAGTTGTTTGTATAAGTTCATATAAGGTTATGCAGGACTTTTTTAACTAGTGTTATACAGTGTGTGTGTCTATTTTACAGGCCAGCTTGAGGAATACCACAGATGTTAATATATATTACATACTTGTATCATGATATTTCACTGCATATATATTAAACAGCTGTTTCATAAGCATTTACATTTTTAAGTTGTTAATATTATGGCATGCCTAAAAACTATAAAGTAAATCCTTTCAAATGCTTAATCTGTAGTCAGCTGCAATAACTGAGTCTACCCATGTGAACAGTGCAGACCAGACCCTGTTATGCACACATTCAAATATGCTTAAGTCAGGTCATCAGAAATTTGAATATGCTTAAATCAGGTCATCACAAATTTGAATATGTTTAAATCAGGTCCACACAAATTTGAAAATGCTTAAATCAGGTCATCACAAATTTGAATATTCTTAAATCAGGTCATAACAAATTTGAATATGCTCAAATCAGGTCATCACAAACACTTTGTCAAGGACATCGCAACACTAAAGCACTCACTGTAAATGACTCTAAACACATAATGTATAACATGAACACCATCCATTTATAATTCGTAAGATAGGTAAAAGTTCCAATAAACCTGTCAATTACTTCACTATTGTATTAACATTTTATAGAAAATATCCATTTTTCAAACATTTTACACAAAACTTTTTTATTATTTTGAAAATCACGTATAAAATACATGTTCAAACGATAATATAATTCTGTGAAACCATCTGCTAAAAATAAATTTACGATTTAATAATGCTGCTTACAACGCCGATCTTAATAAATATAAACATGTACATTATTAAGTAACTTCCTAATACATTTTTTTTAATTTATGTCACCAAAAATGATAAATGAACATACAATTTACGCCTTCATTCAATTAATTCCTTCAACAAGATAGCCGTAATATACATATCAACACGAGCTGTGAATACTTGACTAAATACTCCTAAAGGATGGATGAATAATTTCTATTTCACTGATATAATACACTTAAACGTTTTAACACACGCATACTCAGGCCGTGGATAGGTGTGCGTAGCGAAATACAATAAATTTAAATAAATAAACGTCATCTGATAACAAATTTTTACAGTCAGTGAATATGCGTTAATTTACAGAATGACTGGATTTATATATTTCGAAATTTCAATTTACACAGAAGAATAACTTTGTATAACAATTATCAAGTTATCAAGGTATCTTTCACACATCTCATTTCATTCCGTCTCATTCATGTTAGTTAAACCAGCTTCTAAGATTTTCGAGATTCATTTTTTTTCAATTACTTCAATTACCTATAAGGGCATATAAAAACCCACTGTTCTGCTTTACAATTAGAAATGCATGTAGTTTATAACCTTGTCATTTTCACATTAATTAAAGTTTTTATAGAGTTTAAGATATTTCCTGGTCTTAACATGATTGTGCAGAGAACCAATTTTGTAGATATATTTTCAAGAAATGCAAAATGAACACTAATTAACTCAGGGTTTCCTACTTAAGTTCAAAATTTGGATGTGAGACTGCTAAATTTCTGAAACTGGAAGATTATTTATGTAACAAGGAAAAGCATTATATTTTGGAGTTCAAAAGCCAAAATCAAGCAGTAAATGAAACCCAAACTTTAAGTACATGAAGCCCAGTGTTAACATAATGAGGATGATAACATAAAACATGTTTGTTTTGAGCTCAGACAAATTGACTTTAAACCTACTACCCAAAATATAAGAATAAACACATAAATAAACTGTACAGTGTCTATAATTATGCGAGACGAGAAAGGACTCAAGGAGGAGGCAGCTACATGATGTATTATATTTCATTATGGCCTAAAGGTAAAGGTGCTTGCACCTCAAACTAAGCGATCATGAATTTCAGCCCTACTCTGGTCACAACCATATATCCTCATCTGATTGACAATTGAAACACATTCAGTAATCAGAAAACTTGTACCATATCCATGAGAGTGAAAATAAAAATGCACACAGACTGAAGAGTGTTAGCTGCTGATAACAATATTTTAGTACAATTGACAGTTTAACGCCAGATCAGTGTAAAATTCTCATCCAATGTGAGTAGATAAAGCACTTACGCTTTTATTAATTACCCTCCGTACTTACAAGGGTTTAGGCAAGACGAGAAGCTTCCTCCCGGAACTAAAAGGATGTCTAGTCTTGCCAACTGAAACAGTCTATGTAAATATTTGTTACTTTTTATTCAATTCATATTACAAAAACAATTTTTTTATGTTTTGCGTCTATATTTTATTTCTTATCTCCGTCACACACTGGATAACCTCTTGAACATATTTGTCAGGCCATACGGGTATTTCTTTAAAGATCATCACTATACTGAGTATACTCAGTATACAGTCACCAGTGGTAAAATCAATTTGAAAGCCTAAGAGGGGCAGCAAAATTGTTTATATTGCCCAGGTTGTCCCACACAGACAGACAAGTGAACTTTTACCAGTATTTACAAAATATTTCTTGCATCTCAGACAGGATTATCTACTGTTTACACCAATGATAGGAAAACCTGTCTTACTGTCCCATATAAGACAAGTCACATGCTTAAAATGACATCATTGCCACGCACCTTTTATGAATGTATTTCTAAGGATGATATCATTTTACCATTTTGATTCATATGCTACTATAAGAAACAATTGATCTTTAAAAAAGATAATCGGCGTAAATTCAGTGCAAAATGTCTCATAGCTTTAGAATATTTTCAAAATTAATGTTATTTATACTTTATAACAATATAAATGTCTAAATTGAAATATATTTGGTGGTTACTAGTATAATCTATGACAGTTGTCTAAACTTAGCTGAAAATTAGTCATGTTATTATAGATGCTAGAAGCTTTTTTGTCACCGTGACTTTTGACTACTGGTTTCAAAGTCAATATCAGATAATAACCAACCACACTACCAAATTTAGAGACTGCAAAGGCCACAATCAGCTGACAACTTGAATTTTATTGTTAAATAATATTAACTTATATGTATCTGACCTTCATTTTGTAAAAGCACTTCTGTGCATAAAATGCTGCAATTATTAGGTCATGATAATAACACCAAAATCTTTTGTTGTTTATATCTTTAATTTATGAAAGAATACAAACTGTAATAAATAATCAATTGAACATATCAACTCTGAACTATACTATTTATAAAGCCTTCTTATATCTATCTGGCAATGAAAATGAATAATTGAAGACTTAAATCAAAAGTTAAACATAACCTTACTAGTATAAGTTATAATTATGTATTTTATAAAAAAGGATTTCTATTAAAAATTGCACAGCTTGACTAGTATTTTGTATATACTAGGGGTATGAGGTGGAGGTACTAGTTATATAAGCCTACTGGTATGGCTACGTGTCGTACACCTACACAGGTTATATTTTACAATGTACTTTAAATGTGCAATGTAAAATATAAATGTTGTTCCATATATACAGAAAAATATCTATTTATCTTATAATAAGTACTAAACTCAATTTTGTATAACCCATCAATGACACTGATTATCAAGTGAGACAGTTTCAGATTGAGGTAGTCAATTGGGGTGTATTTCGGTAAATTTACCTACCGGTGTAAACAAACGCCGAATAACTATGAATAAATTAATTTGTTATTATTACGCACAAAACATAATACTTAAAGTTTTGCGATTCTTTATGATAATGTTGCATTTTAAATATATTAATTTTCGCAATTCATATCAGCTCTGGAGAATCTTTCTGTTGATCAAAAATATCGTTTATTTTCATAGAAAACAGAAAAGCTACGGCAAATAAAGTACGAGTGAGTAGTAATCGAATGTTTAAGTAAAGGCTGAAAAACAAAAAGTTGGGTTTGTTGTTAATATTATCAACAAAATAAATTGTACATGAAATCATATGTACTGTATATTTTTGTATTTTAATATATCTTTGTTTTGGTCATAACGTTGTGATATTTAGTTTACGATTGTATAAATATTTTTAATACAACTTTATTCTTAGAGACAAGTAAACTAAAGATTACGAATTTGTCCTTAAATTTCATAACAGCCAGTCTTTCCACCAATGAAAAACACCCTCTTTTAGCTGAAGATTTTGTAACTAACAATTTCATTTGTTACAAATCTAGGTCAAAATCCATTTTAATACAGCTACGCCGAAAAAGTGCGTAAGGAGAATATAAGTTTTTCGTGATTTCTGTTCTGAAAATAACTGGTATGAGATATATATATGCAAGAAAAAGAATCAAACACTGGCTGTTGGTACAAACGAGAATATCTAGCTCTAGGGTAGCTGTTTAGCGCGAACTCAGCAGAGCCTCATTACCGCCGTAACCAGTTACCCTCGAGGTAGATATTCTGGTCTGTACCGGCAGCCAGTGTAAGATTCTTATAAAATGTCCTCTGTACAAAGCGGACAAGTATGAAGTTAAAACGAGATTTTACTGGCCTAGATAGACATTGTTTTAAACATCTTAAGATAACGCTTTACTCATTTTAAACCAGTCACACTGATTGGCTGATATTTAACCAAGCCTTAAGATTTTAAACTGAATATAAATGGTAATGTTAGCTCCATTTCCTGTTTGGTCTCTAAACTGGCTAATTTAAATATTAAACAAAACAGTCCTATTTCACAGGTAGGGAAAGGGGCATTTTCCTTGACTTAGGTAGGAAATAATGCAAATGGGGAAGAAAAAAACTTGATGTAAGACTAACTTGAGGTAATTACTTCATGATTGAAAAGAATTTCGGGCTCTTTTAAAGAAGGGGAAAAAAGCTATGTAGAAACTATGATTATTTTTGTTTGTCCTTTATAATCCCCATTCTGTTAATTGGGGGGGTTCATAGATTAATATACATGTCAAAGTATTCAGTTCTCATGTAAAACTGACTGTGGAAGATAAGCAAGAAAACAAACATTTCATTGTTTTACTATACTGTCATATTTGATATCGAAATGTAAATTAAGATGGAGGGCAAAATGATTCAAATTCTTTCATGTGTAACAATAACATGCTTGTTGTTTTCTAAACATGAAAACACCTGTATTTTTAATTTCATTTTAAGATTACACTGATTAGCCTATACAAAAATTTAAATAAAGTTTTGTTTACAGTAAATATTACCTGTAAATTTTGTAAACTGTAGATAAGAAAGCAATTTTCTGATAAGCCTTGACTTCTAAGGTTGCTCACTGTTGAACAGCCCAACTTGTTTGGTTCAATTCCCAGTACCATGAACAGTTTAGAAAATGGTGCCAATTGCTGGCTCCATACTTTCGTTGTATTTTGAACATCTGTGCTAGAGTTATGGGTCTTGAAAAAAGATCCTCATGACTGTGAATACCCTCAATAACTCAAGAAGTAACACCAATGCCAGTCTTCAAACAGTCAAGTTAATCAAGGTGTACATTCTCAAGAACGCAGTGCCAGGGTGTGACCTTGAACTTTGACCTCAAGTCCTCTGAATGTGTCGGACGGGTAGAGCTCATCAACTTGTGCAATGCACCAGAGAAATTTGGAGGCGCTGCAGGTGGAAGGACTTGCATGTTATGGTCAAGTTTAAAGTTTTTGTAACAGACAGACCAAAACCTACATGCCCTTCTCATCTAAATACATGATCATAAATTAATTTAAAAATACCCCACAACTTAACTGTTTCATATACTGAATTATATATATAATACTACACTCAGAGGGGTTAATTTGTGAAGTTAATCGGGCCATGTGCAACTTAGTCATGTGTACTAAAACTGTCAAACTGTCAAAAAATACCTGTTAAGCAATTATTTATATTTAATATTATTTGTCCCTTAGATGCATGGGATAAAAATGATTACTCATGGCAGCAAATAATGTTTTCATATTGTAACTGTACTATTAGTTAATACTGTAACGGTACTAAGTTAATACTAACTTAGTAATTGATTAACACATCATCAAAACATTAAGCTGTAGATACCTGTACATGTATACAGGATTTATGCCAGCAGTGGAAACCACAAGAGTGGTACAAGTAAATAAGTTGAAGCCAACCCAACAGAGGTCCCACATCATTTTCACTGAGTTTCATTTTAATATCATTTATTTATAAAATAAAACAATTGATACATCTGTGATAGTGTACTTTCCATGTTATTCTTATCTACTCCTGACATTAGAATACCGGTAAACGAAGAAAAATTGAAAATGTTGATTTGGAACAAATCTCACCACTTAATAACATGCCATAAACTGCACACAGGATTTTCCAAATGACATTTTTAAATGGGATGAAAAGACCCCTTGTAGTTACTTATAGATATAGATGAAATTTGTCCATTTTAGTGGTAAAAATGCAAATTTTAGTGTGCCAGAC